GTGCTATCACTGCTGTAATATAGGTGTATCATATATTAAGAAAATAGATTTTATATTACTATATTAAGAGGCTTGGCGGTCTTTTAATCATGTATGTAATTTTAAATGTTATTTTGATATATGAAATGTATTGTTGTACAGTAGTTTTGTTGTGTTGTATTTTAAATTTTGATGATGATGACTATCTGATTATGCATGTATATTTATGTGTTATATTGCGCTGCTGACTTCTTCTATATTTTGAAGCAGACCCCTTTGTGGATTTTTTAACTGTAATAAATGAATGAATGAATGTATGAATAAAATGTATATTTAAATGAACACTGTTGCCTATTGCTAGAATGCAATGGACTATGGAATAAATACTCAGGAAAAAGGTGCTATTACTGTTATGATACAGGTGTATTATATATTAAGAAAATAGATTTTATATTACTATATTAAGGATCTTGGTGGTCTTTGATCGTATATGTAATTTTATATGTTATTTTGATATATGGAATGTATTGCTGTACAGTAGTTTTGTTGTATTGAATATTTAAATTTTGACGATGATGACTATCTGATTATGTATGTATATTTATATGCTATATTGTATTATTGACTTGTTCAATATCTGAGGCAGATGCCTCTATGGATTTTTTTGGAACTATAAATAAATGAATGAATGAAAAAAAAACTCTGTGTTTTTAGTCTGCAAGTGAACTATACCGACTGAGCGACCGCCACTTGTCGGCGAAGTTAGTACCAACTTTAATGGATAGAGGGTGATGCATGGTCAGCGTAACAAATCCCCACAACCGTTAATTTCGGTTTTCTAGACCGGAGCCGCTGTTTCCTTGAAATAGTTCCTCAGTTATCCTCACGAGGCTGAGTGGACCCCATTCCAGGCCCACTACTTCTAAGAAAATCCGGTAGCGCTGGGAATCGTACCCGGACCTCTGGATCTGTAGCCAGGAACTCTTAAAATCTTTTACAATGTCAATCTTGAAGTTCTACTTTCTACAATCAGACGAAGTCACCGTGAAATTAAGCCAAGCCACCTTCATTGCTACACATATTTAGTGAATAATTACATAATAAGAAACATGAAGTATAATATGTAGTAGTTGAAAATTCGGCTATACAGGGTGTCCCAGGAGGAATGGACCAAACTTCGGGAGGGTGTTCCTTATGTTAAAGTATGCCGATATAACCCAAAACACCTATGTCCAAAGTTGAACGGTTACGGAGATAATGGCCAGAGAAGTGTGCAACTTTGACCGGCGTTGCACACTTGTTGATTATAAAATACATATTAAAATTGGCAGGAATATGTGGATTCTGTAACGTTAATAATGTACGTAACATCAAACTAACTTGTGAGTGACGTGAAGCCATAAAATTGAAGTACAAAATACTCGCTCGCCATGTCATAATTGTCCTTAGGGTTTCCAGGCACTATACATGACACATAAATGGCAAGCGCTGACGTAACGTACTGACTGCGCGTTCTGATAAAGCCAACTACATAAGCACGGCTAGGGTGAATCACGGCACTCAAGGACAAACAAAGATAAGGCCTCTCAGCTGATAGGTATAATCCGTGGACCCGCTAGAAGACCACACTTTTCTCGGGCCATTATCTCCGTAACCGTTCAACTTTGGACATAGGTGTTTTGGGTTATATCGGCATACTTTAACATAAGGAACACCCTCGCGAAGTTTGGTCCATTCCTCCTGGGACACTCTGTATATGACCATTATCATCAATGGCTTACATATTAAAGTGAAGACTGCAGTAATATTTACGTAATATCCATAAGCCTTTATAACTGAAAATGTAGTGAGTCTTTTGCCTATGTATCATTACTTATGGGCTGCATAATTTACAGATATTCTGGCTCCTATTGGTGGTCTTATTTCTATGTAGATTTCACACAGAACATGACCGATGTTATTGTGTCACTGTATGTCCATCTGTTGCTACAGTGCATGACATGCTTGTGCTGGTGATGTGGTCGGTGTCTGGAGTAGTACTTAATTATCAATATAAAGAACAATAGCTGAAATGTCTGATATAAATACTCAGTGAATTTTTGCATTTAACATGCAACCACCGAAGGTCAGGTTCACACAATATTGTGACATGTAGATCTATTGATAGGCAACACCCGCAACGCACATGTGGCCAACAATACAGGAGCAGTGCTTTCTGTGATCCGTGCATGGACCATTGCTGTGGAGTGCATGCAGCTTACACATGCGTGGTGACATCATACAACAACAGAAGAAATGATGCAGGCAGATCTTTTCTGCTGTGGTCCATGCCAAGTGGTTATAAAAGACATGGAAGTTCATTTGAATCAGTCTACCTCGACGTGCCAGCCTGCCAGGATATGAGATATAGAGCAAAGGAATTGAATTGAGGAATTCAGGCATCAAAATTATTGAGTGCAGGTCAGTTCAGACTTGAAAGTCAGCCTGTGAAGGGAAGACTTAGCATGTGATTTGAAGACTTTATATGTCCTGTAGTATAATGATATCTGGAGTGTGATTGTTATAGTTCCTGTGTTAAAGTTGGTTGCCAGGAAACGGATAGTGAAAACACTGTAAAGGAAGGCCACAGTTGAGACCTGCTACAAAGACTAGTGACACCAGACTGAGAGTGATTTGTAGTGTGAAAATGAGCAACAGTGTTATTTCTTATTTGCAGTTACAGCTTGTACATAGTCAGTAAATCCAATTACCAATCTGAACCCTGTCTACAGTCACTACAACACGTGACAATATTGTACTCTCATACAGAAGGCCAAGACACATCACAGTTAAAGCAACCAGTACAGTTCTACCAGTTAGGTACAATCTTCATGAGGATGTATGCCATAAAAATGCATATTGTACATGACCTGGGTGTTTGCAGCAGGGAAAGAAAATCCAGTCTACAGAACCCTGTGTGGAACACAAGGGTGATCTGAAGTGAGTGTTTAAAAGTATGTGTTCCAGGAAATCTGTAAGTTTGTCAGTTCATGAACTTACAACAATGTTGACAAATATGGACCAAAAATTTACCACCTAAAATTACTGTCTCTTCTGTACTGGGGAAGTGTGGAGGAGAGTCTGCCTATGCAGCACTAATCAAAGTTAGAAAACAAATACATGACAGTCTTCAACATTTATAGATCCTGGGAACCCTATGATGTGGTATCAAAGTAAAACTTACTGGATGAGATGGACAAGGCTTTTGCTGCTACAGAATTTCTCTGAAACATTCTTCAGTTTACACAAAATTTAATTTAAAATATAATTGATTTCCTTAAGAGAAAATGGAAATGGTACACCACCAAGCACCATTTAACAGGTAACAATCATAATCGGACATTTTAGAAAATGCTCTTCAAAGTCCAGTGACCACAGTAAAGTTATTTCGTTTGCAAACACAGATGAAGATTAGCAATAAAACTGCCAATTCTGCATACAAGTATTCCTTATTTCACAAAGGCAATGCATTCCACAAAAACTCTTCATAATGTGAAAATTCATAAATTGAAATTGATATTCCCATTACATTACATGTGAAAGCTGCCACCTCATGAGTCACAGAGGAGTCTCACAGAAATTTTACCATATTCTCTAGTAGTAAATAACCATTAAAATGAGGATAGTATTACTTGTTTCCGACATTTATTGTTGCAAATACAATTTATTTCTTTAATCATACCTGATGTAGGAAACAAAGTAGCTTCATTAACATGGTTGTACACATGTCTTTATGTCGCTATCCTCCTTCAATCCCTTTTATTATTTACATCTTTAAGGCCAAACCTATTGCTTTCCTTACTTTCTTTCTCTTGCAATCGCTTTCTTCGGTTAGGCAGCATATATGGGCATAAATAACATAAAATGTAAGCATCAGGAGCACAGCTGATTCTGTATGATCAGAACAAGGCATGTGGACAGATTGGGATGTTGGGATATCCAGGTCAGCTGTGATATCTGCTTCTCCCCACCTGCCCCAAACTCAGTATTGTACTTCTCTGCTTTCAAAAGAATTTTTTTATAAGTGTAAATTGTTCACTGTAGCAAAAGTTTGTAAAATGCGGGATACCCATATCTGTGAAATCCACCGAACACAGACACAGAGATACAACTCACCTCAGGCTCAAGGTTTATTCCTGGAAATGTTATTGGGGCAGTGTCATCCTCATCTTCTGCATCTGGCATTGTCTCCACTTTTATATTGACAGCCTGGTATGCATCATGAGAAGATGCTGGACATATCTCACTTTGAGGACTTCGTACTTTCTCTAAATCTGTAGAATTCTGTAAATCAACCAATGCTGTATCTATCATGGCTCTGCATTCACATTACACACAGGAAGTTCTGGGAGAAAATAAGTGCCTAATTTCTTTTCACTACATATTGTGACATGTAGACCCACTGCTTTCCTTACTTTCTTTCTCTTGCAAGCACTATCTTCTGTTAGGCAGCATATATGAGCATAAATAACATAAAGTGTAAGTATCAGGAGCACATCTGATTCTGTATGATCAGAACAAGGCATGTGGACAGATTGAGATGTTGGGATATCCAGGTCAGCTGTGATGTCTGCTTCTCCCCACCTGCCCCAAACTCAGTATTGTACTTCTCTGCTTTCAAAAGAATTTTTTTATAAGTGTAAATTGTTCACTGTAGCAAAAGTTTGTAAAATGCGGGATACCCATATCTGTGAAATCCACCGAACACAGACACAGAGATACAACTCACCTCAGGCTCAAGGTTTATTCCTGGAAATGTTATTGGGGCAGTGTCATCCTCATCTTCTGCATCTGGCATTGTCTCCACTTTTATATTGACAGCCTGGTATGCATCATGAGAAGATGCTGGACATATCTCACTTTGAGGACTTCGTACTTTCTCTAAATCTGTAGAATTCTGTAAATCAACCAATGCTGTATCTATCATGGCTCTGCATTCACATTACACACAGGAAGTTCTGGGAGAAAATAAGTGCCTAATTTCTTTTCACTACATATTGTGACATGTAGACCCACTGCTTTCCTTACTTTCTTTCTCTTGCAAGCACTATCTTCTGTTAGGCAGCATATATGAGCATAAATAACATAAAGTGTAAGTATCAGGAGCACATCTGATTCTGTATGATCAGAACAAGGCATGTGGACAGATTGAGATGTTGGGATATCCAGGTCAGCTGTGATGTCTGCTTCTCCCCACCTGCCCCAAACTCAGTATTATATTTCTCTGCTTTCAAAAGAATTTTTTATAAGTGTAACTGTTAGAGAGAATATAAAAATGTCTGCCAAAGAGAGTCTAGATTATTATGAACCGAAGAAGCATAAGCCATGGTTCGATGAAGGATGCTCAAAATTATTGGATCAAAGAAAGCAGGCTTAGAGGATACAAGTGAGTTAATTGAGAATAATCTGAACAATATAAGACGTGAAACCAGGAGGCATTTCAGGAACAAAAAGAGGGAATGTCTGAAAGACAAAATTAATGAGCTTGTAATGAACAGTAAGAACAAGAATATTAGAGACCTTTATAGAGGAATAAATGTCTTTAAGAGGGGTTACCAGCCTAGAGGTAACTTAGTGAAGGATGAGAATGGTGATCTGCTCTCAGTTATTTGATGTACATAGAGTCAGTGATGTTAGGCAGACAGAAATCGATACAGCTGAGCCGTTAATACCTGATCCTAGCCCTTTTGAGGTTGAAAGTGCTATTGTAAAATTGAAACGGTATAAATCGCCAGGTAGTTATCAAATTCCGGGAGAACTTATTTAAGCAGGAGGCAAAATATTATGTTCTAAGATCCACAGTCTAATTATCTATATTTGGCATAAGGAAAAATTGCCTGATCAGTGGAAGGAGTCTATTATTGTACCAGTTCACAAGAAGGATGATAAAACTGACTGTAGTAATTATCGGGTTATATCACTGCTATCAACTTCATATAAAATATTGTCCAGTATTCTTCTTTCAAGGTTAAGTCCATATATAGATGAAATTATTGGGGATCATCAGTGTGGGTTTCGATGTAGCAGATCAATTACAGATCAGATCTTTTGCATTCATCAGATATTGGAGATAAAATGGGAGTATGATGAGAAAGTACATCAGCTATTCATAGACTTCAAGAAAGCCTGTGATTCAGTTAGGAGGGAAGTATTGTACAATATTCTAATAGAATTTGGGATACCCATGAAACTAGTTAGGTTGATTAAAATGTGTTTAAACGAAATGTACGGTAAAGTCAGTGTAGGCAAATGTTTGTCTGATAAGTTTCCTATCCAGAATGGTCTAAAACAAGGAGATGCTTTTATCGCCACTCCTTTTCAACTTTGTCTTAGAATATGCAATTAGGAAGGTCCAGGGAAACCAGGTGGGACTGAAATTAAATGGAACACATCAGCTGTTGTCCTATGCTGATGATGTGAATCTACTGGGTGATAATGTAGATAATATAAAGAAAAACACACAGACTTTAAATGACACAAGGAAAGAGATTGGTCTAGAAGTAAACACAGAGGAAACTAAGTATATGTTACTGTCTCGTCATCAAAATGCAGGGCAAAATCATGATATGAAGATAGGAAACAGATGTTTTGAAAATGTGGCACAGTTCAGATATTTGGGAACAACGATAACAGATCGAAACCTGATTCAGGAGGAAATAAAGAGGCGATTGAACTTGGGTAATGCTTGCTACCACTCAGTCCAGAACCTTTTGTCTTCTTGTCTGTTGTCCAAAAACATAAAAATTAGAATATACAAAACTACTCTTCTCCAAGTATAGTTAGAATGATCAAGTCAAGCCTCAGTTTATGATGAGTTCCCAGTCAAGTTCTGGAAGATGTTTTGCACTGTGATGGATGGAAATGAAGCCTTAACAAATGTAATTAATAAAATAAAGAATGGGAAAGGATTTCCAATGGACTGGAAAATTGCTATTATGTACCCGATTTATATGGGGAAAGGAAAATGAGAGAAGCCAGGAAACTACAGAGAATTTTCGCTGTAAACGATATGTAGCAAAATATTTTCAGGAATCCTGGCTAGTAGACCAGGAGGCTGGATAATACAACAGTGTTCCAGGCGGGGTTTATTAAGGACAGACAAACCATAGATAATGCTTTTGTCAACAAAATAATTATAGACAAATATTTAAGACATAGACAGGGGTGCTTACATTTGTGTTTTGTAGATTTCTGAAAAACAAGAACTTTTTATTCAATTCATAGAGAAGCTCAGTGGTATAAATTGAGAACAAAGAAAATAAATAATGGTATGATGAAGTGCATCAAGGAAATGTATGATGGGATTAAGTGTTATGTGAAGTGTGGAAAAGATGATGTAACAGAGTTTATTGAACTGAAAAGAGGAGTAAGACAAGGCTGCACTTCGAGTCCATATTTGTTTAATGTTTCCATATATGCTATTATAGATTATATTAGTAAGCATCACACACACGCACCATTAATTGGAACAACAATTCCAGGTTTGCTATATGCAGATGATTTAGTCATCTTTTCCTTCACAATGATTTACAGAAAGCAGTAGAGCAAGATATTAAGTATTGCATAGAATGGAATTTGAAATGTAACCTAAACAAAACTAAAATATTAGTGTTTAAGAAAAGGAGATGAACTGAAGAAAGAGAAGAGATGGACAGTGAACAATCAAACAACTGAAGTGGAAGATGAAATAAATTATTTAGGAGAAACATTTGAATGTAGTGGTGATTAATAATAGAAATTCCACTGTCAACACAACTGTAATTTATTAACTTATGTTTCACTACATGTTTCGGTTCTTATAGGGTCATCTTCAGGTGTTGTGGTTTACACATTTTCATTATTGAATTGTAAAGCATGTATACATGTTTACATACATAGACTTAAAATGACTACTTTCTATGTACATTTATATTCTAGCATCTACATGTTGATTTAAACACAAGATATTTACTCATGTGGAACTAAAAGTTGAAGACTAAAAGTTGATTTTTAATCGATTATTAACATTGCTATGTTGTGTAATTTATGTGGTATACTCTGCTGTGTGGTCTGCACTACTTCTCAGAAGTAGTAAGTAATAATTGACATCCTGGAAATGAGAAAGAAGATAAATTCATGCTTAAGAAAACAGTTAACACAAAGGAATCTAACCAATAATAGAAGAACCAGATGAAAAGATGCATGGCATACTACAGCAACAGATGCATAGCTAAATACAGCATACGACAACTTTAGATTAATTTAAAATCAACTTTTAATCTTCAACTTCTAGTTCCATATATATCTTCTATTTAAATCAACATGTAGATGCCAGAATATAAATGTAAAAAGAAAGTAGTTATTTTAAGTCTGTGTATGAAAACATGTGTACATGCTTTACAATTTTGTGGTGGACAAAGTGGCACTGGGGCAGATTTTCTCCAAGTACTTCGGTTTCCCTGCCAATCTTCATTCCACCAATTGCTCCACAATCACCCTCACCTATCATTTGGGGCTGGTACAACAGGCCAGAAGTGGCCGCAGTACAAGGGACTTAGTCCCACCCCACTAGCAAAAATATACTTACGCAACAGGATGCAAACATTAAAAATAGAGAAAGTAGTGATGGTTGGAACAGAGAAAAGTTTAAGACATTAGCAAAAGGGTATTAGACTTTAGTAGCCACAGACAAATTTCCAGCATGAACATGTAAGGGTGAAGATTTTAGATAATGTATATGGCCAGCGCATAAGTCTGACACCCTTACCGCCATCTGTGACATGACTGTCTAGAGAAAATGTAGGATCCTCGACATCTCACAACCCTATGGACCTTCACGGCCTTTTACAGGGACAGCTTTACCTCTTATATGAGATGCTAAGTGAATCTAGAGCAATGTATACCATAGATATATGGGGCCTAGATGGATGATGGAAAGAAACTGACAAAAGTCACAGTAGGTTTTGTCAAATAATACTAGGAATGCTGAAATTTGCAGCAAACAATGTGGCTGAACTGAATTGGGGAGGGATAAAAGGAGGGAAAACTTTCTGACCACCATTGTAAAATACTGGTTACATTTATTATGCATGGACTCTGTGGAAACAATAGGAACATATTATGAACAGCAGATAAGTAACGTAAACGTAGAAGGCTGGACATGGAAATTAAGAGGAGGAATTATTATAAATAAATTTAGCATATATCTGGCAAAGTCAGGCAGAGGTTAATGGAAATAAGATATGTAAAATAATTAGGGAAATGTTTAATGATACAGAGAGATGGAACACATTTTCATATATAAGATTTCCCTGGTATTTTACTGTGAAATGAAACATGAGTGGGGTAAAGAGAACTACACTGATGAATGCATAAGACAGAAGAGAATGGGAATAATATAGTGAAAGTGAGGATCTGGAAGCTAAGAGGGATCATGAGGGGATGTGAGATAGGAAGATGCCATATGTTTTGTGGGGAGGAGAATGCTTAGCACATACTCTTAAATTGTCCTAAAAAAAGTGGAGAGAAGAACTTGTAATGGTTATATATAAATGAGGGCATAGCATACAGAAAGATAATTAGCTGCACATATGTAATGTTGTGGAGTGAAGGCCAACTCCCTGTAATATGTTAACAGAGTATTAACATTTTGTATTTTAGGGAAAAATATTGGTTGGAATAGATTTAGTCTTGGGAAATACTTGTAAGATGTACGAAAGCGGATGTAAGAAGGTTTAACAACTTAAAGGAATTTCTGCGTATGGACTTAGACGGACATTGGCTTGCCACGCGGGAATGTCCAGTCAGCAGAATGACATTGAAGGTACCTCGAAATGCTAACTTTGCAGAAGCTACACTTGAGCAAGATGGGGGGAACGTTGCAGGTAAAAGTGTTAGCCAAATGATCTAGCAGTAGAAGGGGGTGTGTCCCCTTAGGATCCCAGCCAA